CCAGTCATCACTGGCTTTCGTTGCCAGAAAGCAGCTGCACAAATAGCAACTGCAGCTGCGCAGCCAACCCAGTCACCCCCACCAACAAAAAGTCGTGTTGCCTCCAGCCACACTCCAATCACACTGCTGTCTCTCTCCAGCCGCATTTTGCAACCTCACAGCTGCCACTGCCCAGCCACGCCACAGCTGTTGTCCGGCCAATAAAACCTTTAATTTGGTTTATTTAATTGACCTTAATTGCCCTAAAATCTAAATTATTGCTACGTCTCAAATCACTAGTACAAATTCTCACATGGGAAATTCTGCACAAACTAATGGTGAATTTCAACCAATTCAACCTGTCTACCACTTCAACAGGAAGGAACACATGACTTGGTCACAATTGATTCGGATCATTCTTAAGGGTCGAGGAAAGCTAAGTCATCCTCCTTGCATTGCACCAAAACCGGGAGATCCTGTTTCCGATGTTTGGGATGAGGAAGATTCTATGACTATGGTCTGACTCAGGAACTCTATGACTCCAGAAATCAGTAAACCAGTTATATATCTACCCACAGCAAAATATATTTGGGATTCAATCCGAAAAATCTATTCTAAGGCAAAGGTGCAGCTTAGATGTATGATTTAGTCGTCAAAACTTACACAATTAAACAACGCTACAATACAATCACAGAATATTCAAACCTTCTAAAACACTTATGGCAAGAGCATGATCAATACCATAGTATCACTATGGAGAACAGCAAAAAACGCAGCAGCCTTGAAGAAATTTCTTGAGAAAGATAAAGTATACAAATTTATGGCAGGCTCAATAGAATATGATCAAGTGAGAGTCCAGATCCTGCTGAAGGAAGAGATGACATCTCTCAATGAGGAAATGTCCTTAATCAGTGCAGAGAAAAATAGAAGGGAAGTTACACTTGAGGTAAATAGCTTCACTATTTTACAACAGTGGCACCCATCAGTGCTTTTTTGATGATTAGTTGCATTCTTGTGAAACGGAGATTAGTGTTGGGCATGAAAGTAATACTTACTAACTTAATATTTGACATGCTACCAACTATTGAAGAATATTATTTTCCAAACCATGACAGAAAGGCAACAAAAGAACCATATGAACTAGAAACCAACCATATCATAGCACCTGCAGCCGCAATTTTGCCAAGCATACAGAGGCATTGAACCATAGTCTGCAAATACTTCACATGGAGTGGAGCATCACTCTTTTTATTGTTTCCTAGAACAAAGAAAGAAATAAGCTTTAGGCAATACAACAAGAGAAACCATGATGGCATCCACATGAAAAGATAATGGCAAGCAAGGGATTCATACAATAAATTCATCGGGAGTAGAATCCAAAAGCCATGGTGGAAGTTGACGAGGAACTACTTTTCCATCACCACCATTAAGCCTTACAGCATGTCCATCTGATGTAGCTTCATCAGGTGGTTCCAACGAACCCTCCTCATCGTGGCCATCAAACGATGAGCTGCAACACAAGTCATGAATAAGGGTCAAAGAAGATAAAAGTTTATTCTATAAAAAAAGAATATGAGAAGCCTAAGCATTCTTCCAACATGCATGTCAAGCCAATATATTTGACTGAAGCATTTTAATTCTCAAGTTCATCAAGGGCCTGATACAATTTTTACAAACAGCGAAAACATATTATTCAAAAACCTGATACAATTTTAGGAACAATACCATGTGAGAACAAGAAGCATAATGGAAAGAGCTAGAAAGAATTCTGTGAAGTTCATAAAAAGGATGTTATTTTCCCACAGAACTCCTCTCTGGTCTCCAACAGAGTACAAGAAGAAAACCGCACAACCATACTAATGAGATATTAAAACAAGGGCACTAGTATCTCCTAATCAATAAATGAATGCATTAGCCAGTTATCTTGATATGGGAAAAGCAAATCAACGAAAGAAATTCACTGATCCACAATGGACAATGAAACAGGATCTAAAGAATATTAAAGCCACAAGGTGAACCTCCACAGTTCTTAGAAAGAAGAAGAAGACGACAACAATTTATTACAGCTCTAAAGTTATAATATATATATACATGCATATTGAAAATCCGTTTCAGTACTTTTAAGAATTGAAATTTTCCTATCAAATCTTCTATTTTTACAAAGAAGTGAAAAGCCAGAAGTAGATAGAAAAATAAAGAACAGACAACACGAAGGATAAAAACAAATACCAGTAACAAAGAGGTTCCTCATCTTACCCTCCATCAATTGAATTTGCTCTATATGATCCATCTGTAGCCCCAAGACCACCAAATTGATTTTCACCCTTCAGTAACCTGGTCCTTCGAGATAGTGGCTGTGTACTACTTGCTGCAAATGCAACAGCTGTTGTAGTTGGTATTTCATCATCTCTTTCATGCATGCTTGATGCAACTGAGCTGCAGAAGAAAAATAGTTAGCTTAAGAACAGAAATAGCTTACACTGAATAATCAACAGAGAGTCGCTTTCCATTTTTTTTTTGGTTGTGCATCCATCTCATGGGACTCATGGCCGTGGAGATA